AGCTGTAGACTGCTTTCCTGGCTGCTGGGTGTTTGCTGGGCTCCTGGTGGAGGATGGGGGCAGATCTCTGTTGTTCTGGTCGACCCCTGTCCGCTTGTGTCGGGGTGGTGGGGCCTTTTTAGTCGTCCTGTCCTCCCTGTCGCTGCCACAATCTGCCCCAGTGCCTTTGGCAGGTATCGTACTAGAGACAGTTTCCTTCCCTCCCCCAGAGCAGTAGGACTCTAAGGCTCTGGGCCCAGACATCCCTGCCCCTGCCCAGGGTACAGCAGGGTTCTCTTTTTCTCCTGCCCCAGCCAGCAGTCCTCACAATGCCTTGGGGGCTCTGAGTCAGCAGGGAACGCTCCAGGTGGACCTTGTATTGTGGCAGTTCCCACTGAAGGTTTGTTCAGTCCACTCTTTCAGTTCACTTAGGTATAGTGCTAAGAAAGAGGTACTGATTCTGAGCCCGATTCCAGTTACAATATCCAATCAAGAAGTTATGTTAAATGCTCCTTGTAGGGAGAGATGGTAAGGAGAGCCGGACCCACCTGGTTAAAGGGTAGAGCTTTGTGTTTGGCTGTTGTTTCAGTCTAGCTGTTTTTAATGGTTGCTACAATTTATGCAGGGTTACCAGGTTCTGTACCTCACATGGTGTGAATGCTGCAGCCTGTGCCTCTGGGACTCAGTGTCCCGAACAGATGCCACATCCATATGTGGTTTCTGAGGGATTTGCTGCAGCCAGAGTGAAAGTGAGTACCTTTGAAGGTGGTCTTGCAGGTGTACAGGATTACAGTCAACAGCATGAAAAGCCCTCGTATCTTTAGTTCAGCATTTTATTTTTTATTTACTTAATTAAATATATTTTTATTGATTTCAGAGAAAGGAAGGGAGAGGGAGAGAGAGATAGAAACATGATGAGAGAGAGTCATTGATTGGCTGCCTCCTGCACGCCCCCTACTGAGGATCCAGCCCGAAACCCGGGCATGTGCCCTGACCAGGAATCGAACCTCAATCTCCTGGATCATAGATCGATGCTCAACCCCTGAGCTACGCCAGTGGGGCTAGTTCAGTGTTTTAAAGTTTTGTGATTGTGAGTAATATTTGAAGACGGGATGTTACTAAATAGATGATGATTGCATTTTGTCTTGCTATTCTTATAAGCTAAGCTTTTACATCAAAGAGTGATGCTGTTTCTGGGTCAACTCATCGTCATCTTCAAAACTGGCAAATCTGTCATTCAGAAAATTAAAAAACCCTTGAGGGTTAGATTCTACCCCAAGATTCCTGTAGGAGGTTTATTCTAACCAGTGTTACTTCTTTCCCCCAGATCCCGACGCAGAGGTGTGTCTTCATGTTTTGCGACTTGTCCAGTCAGTGGTTCTGGAACCAGAAGTCTTCTCCAAGTCGGCCTCTGAGTTCCGGAGCTCCCTGCCCCTGCAGCGCATCCTGGCCATGTCCAAGAGCCGCAACACCCACCTGCAGACCGTGGCCCAGGAGCTCCTGGAAGACCTTCGTGCTCTGGAGTGTGATGCGTAGGCGTGTCCCTCCCCCCTCCCTAGGTCCCCACACTGTGTTTTGAAGCCATCACCGATGGCCAGATGTTCTTGACTAGAGATGGACATGAATTAATATGTATCCACACAGCTTCCTCCTGGAAGTGAAGGTACCGTGGGTGGTTGATTAATCTTGCAAGCCATGGGGAGCCTGAGAAAGAATCCATCCTGTCGCAATGGCCATGTCAGCTGGGCCTGGCTGAGTAGCTCCTGCTGCTCAGGAGATTTTCTGAGACCTATGGATTCCCCCCAAAAAATGGGAGATTAAATAACCACCTACCCCATTGGTCAGCATTTTCCTAAGATACATTTCTTTGAAAAACAATTCATTCTCTCTAGTAATTATAATTAATCCCCCAAGTGCAAGTTTACCTTTAAACCTTTTGGTGAACCTGCTAGTTCAGATGCCATTGGACATTTTAGTTCTATATTTTTGTGCCTCTTTTATTTTTGAATAAAGAAAGTCAGAAGAGTCATTGATGTGCTCCAACTATTGTTTTCTGTAATATTGCAAACTTGTATTAGGAAGCTATACATGACAATGATTGGTAGAAAAACTCACATTGTTCTGGGCCTTTTATAAACTCAGAATAAAGTCCACTTTTTCATAGAACAAATGTTATGAAAAGGGCCTCATGGATTAGAGCACCTGTAGTGGATTAAAGTTCTTTAAATGATGTACACATGTGTGTACCAGTGTCCCCTCCCCACAGATCTTCTCACCTGCATCCAGGCCACTGGCCAGCACAGAGGAGAGTACACTTCACTTCCCATACACCCAGGTGTGAGAGTGGAAGTGCCACTGAATCACCCCTAAGGTAGCACCAGGGAACCCATACGCTCCCTTCTTCTGGCACTGCCTCCTTCAGCATGACTCCGTGGCCCATGGGCTCCAGGCCTCCCGTGAGAGCAAGAGCATGAAGGTGCCCCTTACTGTGGCAGCCTCAGGTATGTTGATAGGAGGTTTCTGCTGTGTGGCATTTTAGAATAACTTCATTTTTCTTTTAAGTAGACTTTTGTAGGCAATGTGCAGTTTGTGGCTGAGGCTGAATGAAGGAGCTTAGGGGAAGGCGCAGTTGCTTGAACTTCACGAGCCAGCATATTGTGAAACACGAGCTCATCGAAGCCAGAGAAAAGTTGTAAAAAGCAATCTAAAATTCATGGAGGCAGAAATTGGTCCATCTGTGCTGCATGCTTCTGGAGGGCCTGATTATTGGTAAGTGAAATTGAGGATGTGTTTTTGTACTTTTCCTAGTGTGGTATGATTTCCGTTTTGGTTGTTTGATAATTTAATAGGAGCTAACTTAATGTAATTAGTTTGTGCCGCCTCTAGACACGTAGGGTGGGATCAGTGGCTATAGAGAGAAATGATACTGGGCCAAACCTGTGAATGTTTCTAGTCTAGCTAATTAGTGGATGGGTATGATTAAGAGGGATGAGTTTTCTCTCCTAATTTTGAAGTGCCAAGGACAGCAAGAGTTCTTACTGAAAACTTCAGGAAGGAACATGACGAATACATGTTTGAATGTATATCGCAGGAAAAGTACTTAAGGCCAGTTTTAAGGAGTGCCTAGCCTTTCTAATATCCTGTTTTAGTGTGAAGGTCAAGGAGAGAACATGTGTTCTTTAAATTTTTTTGCATCTAGAGGTCTAAAGAAATGCAGTTTAAAAAGTATGCATGGCCCTGCTGGGCGTGGCTCAGCAGTTGAGCATCTACCTAGGATCCAGGTGATCGGGGTTCGATTCCCAGTCAGGGCACGTGCCCGGTTGCGGGCTTGATCCCTAGTAGGGGGCATGCAGGAGGCAGCCGATCAATGACTGTCATCATTGATGTTTCTCTCTCTCTCTCTCCCTCTCCTTTCTCTGAAATCAATAAAGATATATTTAAAAAATAATAATAAATAAAATAAAAAGTATGCATGAAAGCAGGTACTTGACAGTGTTTGAGGTCTCTGGTGAATTTTAAAATCAGAAACAAAAGTAGCAAAATGGTCCATGTATTTTTAAAATTTAATTTTTAAAGAATTGCTCATATATTTAAGTTAAGGAACTCTTCTCTCCTTGGTGCTCTCAGTTTTGTGTAAAGGGATGAGACCTGCCAGGCCTACAGCAAGACTTTACTCCCTCCTAGCCCTGCCCCTCACAGGTGACCTGAGCAGGCCTCTTATTCCCCATTGAGTCTGTTCCCTATGAGGTCTGGAGAAGCTGACACTGTGGGTGGCTTTGGTCCTGTCTGCTGCTGATATGAATTGGGAGACTCCTAATGTTGTAAGGAGTTCTTCTCATCCCAGATTCTTATATAGCCCTTATGTCTTTCACTTATTCCAGACAATTTTACAATTAGAGTACCAAACAAGCATCGCAAGGCTGGGACCTGAGAAAATTGGCACCCGAGTCTGGCAGTCAGACCATGGGCAAGGAAGGGTTTCAGTATGAGTGTGAATGTGCCCTTTACACTGATTCTGCCAGACCTGCCAGTAGCTGTGTTGCCATGACATTAATATGAATGGAAATGGTTGATAAATACTTCCATAGACTTAACTAATTTCCTAAGAAGCCCTGAAGGTGAATTTGCGTGTGTGTGTGTGTGTGTGATGAGAGAGAGAGAGAGAGAGAGAGATTGAGATTGATTTATGTGCTTAGATTACTGGGGAAGGACTTCTCTGACCAGTGTCGGGTCTTGGCAGCCCTGGCATAGTATAGGACACAGTGTAGCATACAGTATCCTGTAGGGTATGTGTAAGCTCAGAAGGTGGAGTGAATAAACCTTTAAAAAGTGTTTGGATACTTTCCAAGTCCAGGCTCAGGTGGGGAGGGCAAGAGACGACTGGTATACCTCCGTCTTCACAGGGCACATCTTGAATGCTGTTGCCCTTTTGTGGGTAGAGTTAATCCATCAGGCTGACTGACTGTGCGCATAAACCTTGGTCACTGTGTATGAGCTGCTGTGCAGGGGCTGCCCCCTGAAGCGGAGTTGTTTCCAGCAGTGCCTGGTACCTGCCAGAATCCCCTTTTGGGTATGCTGCTTGTGTGGCTAGTTGGGTCAAGCTCTGGTGTATTCTGAAGCTCACCACTGGTTGTGTTGGTTCTGAGTCCACTTGGACTGGGTTCAGGTGCAGGTCAATGCCAGACATTGTGTATAATCGGCCTTGGGCTACCTCTCTGGAGCTATCACCTGTTCACTATTTGTGGCTGTGTCTCCTGGGCCTGGGTGCATGGGAGGGGCCAGTCAGTGTACAAGGGTTGGCTTCCTCCAGCTTAGATCTAGGGGCAGATCTATAGAAGGTCTGAGGCTCCCTGAGGTCCGCCTCCACCTGTCAGCTACTCCACTTCCCCCTGAGGTTGCCTGTCTTCCTCCACAGCCTTCCAGAGAAAGACTGTAGAGTTGGCCCAGACTGTCCATGAGCCGCAGACCCTTCCACAGGTCATGAGCTCTAGGGCAGGGTGACCAGGGTCGGGAGGCAGGGCTGGTGAGTCCCCTACTTGGGGGCCACGTGGTCAGGCACTCAGTGAGGGAAAAGTGGCTACAACTCTAGCTCCCCCAGGAGGTGTGTACTGCACATTCAGCCAGCCAGCCCCTCTACAGGAGCAAGGTTTGCATTGCAGAGCCACCAGGACTGCAGAGGACAGATCAAAAGAGTCTCCCATTGAAGGTGGTGCTGGCTGAGCCTGCAGGAGAGGAGCCAAGCACTTCATCCCAGTCCCTGACAGTAGCCTCCATGGGAGACACACTCTGAATGTCCCAGCTCTGAGCAGCACACTCTCCCCGCCCCATGCCACGGAACAGCTCAGCAGGGTTGGGCTACCAGGAGTTGAGGGCAGATCCAAACAATCTCCTGTTGGGGGTGTTGCCAGCAAGCCTGTAGGAGGGGGGCGGGTACTTCTTACCCTTCCTCCGATAGCACCAGCTGAGCTTGCACTGGAGATAGGGGTGCCTCCCCTACCACCACCCCAGCAATCTAGCCACACAACCCAGCACCAGCCCCTCTGAGTTGCAGACAAAAGCCTCCCTGGATGATATGCTCTAAAAGTCCCAGTTCTGTGTGGCACCCTGATCCCCCTGTGGGACTGAACTCAGCAGGGTAGGGCCATGGGCAGTGGAAGGGCAAGCCAAGTGATTCAACAGGTGTATGTAGGGGTGCAGCACACTCTGTGCCCTCGAGGTGGGGATGAATGGTCCCCTTTCCAAAGCTACACAGTTCATTCACTGCCTTAGGCTCCGTCAAGAGCGTCTTCAGCAAAAGAGCCCTCATAGGTCCCTGCTGGGTGCAGACAGCAGACCCCTCTGCAGGACCCTAGCATGGTAGAGTGGTGTCATCAGTAGTTGGAGGACCATGCAGTGCACTCTCCTGGCTGGTGCTGTAACGATAGGAGTGCTTGACCCAGGGAAGGTAATATCTGGGTCTCTAGCAGACTCTTCTCTCCCAGGTGGACTGAATCCCCACTGAATTTCAGCACCAGATGCTATGCGGCCTCCCTTTCTGTTTCTATTGCCGTGGGCTGGGCATCCTTGCATGGGGTTGACACCTCATGCTCCTCGGGGGAGGGAGTTTTGTAGCCAAGATGTCCTTCCAGCTTATCAGCCAGGGCCACCCCTTTCCGCGTCACCAGCCTTCTTACCAGTCTCTATGTGGCTTCTGTAAACCCTTCTGTAAGTGGTTACAGCATTTCAGTCCAGCTAGCTTTCAGTTGATTATTCAGGCTGATTGCTTTGTAACTCAGCTGTGATTCCAGTTTAACACTGGAAGCAGGTGAGTGCAGCTTCCACCTACTCTGCAGCCATCCTGGAATCCCTTGCTCTTTGCTTGATCGCAAACCCTGAGAACAGTGGTTCTGAGCTCTTGCACAGTCATGGAGCACTTGGACAACCCTATAAACTTCTCTGCACATAAGCCCTGGCTGGTGTGGCTTAGTGGATAGAGCATCGGCTGCACACCAAAAGGTCACAGGTTCGATTACTGGTCAAGGGCACATACTTGGGTTGCAGGTTTGGTCCCCAGCCCTGTTCTAGGTGCACGCGGGAGGCAACCAGTCTCTCACATTGACGTTTCTCTCTGTCTCAACCCCCACCTTTTACTCTCTCTAAAAAAAAAACCAAACAATGGAAAAAATATCTCCAGTGAG